CTCTCTCTCTCTCTCTCTCTCTCTCTCTCTCTCTCTCTCTCTCTCTCTCTCTCTCTCTCTCTCTCTCTCTCAGATTCCTGAAGCACAGATTTAAATACTTCAAAGCTGAATTTTTAGCTGGTCATGGTGGCACAGGCCTTTAATCCCAGCACTGGGGAGAGAAATGCAGGTGGAACTCTGTGACTTTTAGGCCAGCCTGGTCTACATAGAGAGCTCCACAACAGCCAGGACTACACTGAGAGACTGCCTCAAAAACAAACAAGAGTCCAGATTTAAAAAATGGAGTGTCAGGGGTTGGGGATTTAGTTCAATGGTAGAGTACTGCTTGCCTAGCAAGCCAAGGCAAGCTGGATTTGGTCCTCAGCTCCGGAAAAACAACAAAACAAACATAAAATAAAAAATGGGTGCTGGGCACATTCTTTGGTGTGCTTGTGGAGGTCAGAAGACAACCTGTGGCCTCAGTTCTCTCTTCACCATGTGACCCAGGGATAGAACTCAAGCCATCAGCTTTGTCAGCAGGTGTCCATACCAGCTGAGCCATCTTGACAGTCCAAGGTTGAGGTTGTGCCTGCTAATCATGTTTGCACTGACTATTTCACATGCTCCTGCTGTAGCTCACTTCCATACTGCCAAATCACTGTGTACATGATTTGTGTGGAAGCCTAGAAACTGCTAAGGATAGAAAATATCACAGAGAAAGAAACAGCAGGAAGTCTAAGCCGCAGCCACGACTTTGCTAATTATTCACAGGATCAAGGCGGAAAAACAAAAGCCACAGTTTCTCTCTGGGGCAGAGAAGCTTACAAGATCAGATGCTCTCTATATTTTCTAGGGAAGAGTTAATTCTGTGTAGTAAAAATGGTGTTCCTTCAAAGCAAAATTGTCAACCTATACTTGTGAAGGGTTGCCACTTTCTTAGTGATGGTGTGAGACTATTTTAACAAGAGTCACATATTTCCCAATTATTAACTGTTCTTTCTGAACAGAAAAATGCAGCTTCCATCCTTTGAAGTCTGCTAAAATGTCCAATTTTTCCATACACTACATCTTCCAGTACCTCAAGAAAGCAATGATGTTTTTCATCATGTTTCAAAGAGGGGGGAAATGTATGAAGCCATATGAACTTATAGAACTCAGCAATGAGTGGAACAGACACAGAACAAGGTACTCAAGTGGCCCCGAGTCAGAAGGAACTGAGGAGCTAACCACACCCTGGTCAGAGTTCAGGCAGCCACCCTTTTTTTCTAACTATGGATTTCTCCAGTTCTTTGATTAGAGTCAAAACCAGACACACATCATTCACAATCCAAGGCCCATCTTTCCTTGCTCTGGTGGGCCTCATTATTTAGACATCGATTTACTCTCACGCCTCCTGCCACTGGACACCAGGAAGGTCCGTGTAAGATGGGAGTAAGGTAGGCCAGCTGGGAGAGCAGCTCGTACAGGATCAGGGGTGGGGTGAAGCTGGGGGCATGGGGTGGGGCAACAAAGGGGCCCTGGAAGACCTGGGATCAGCTCAGGTCTGAAGGGAGTAAAGAAGGGCAGGACAGAGGCACTGCAAGGGTGAAGCGAAGACGTCTTAAAGGCAGGGCGACCAGTCACATGGAAGTAGGATGGTTGGAGCTTAAAGCTCACAGATACATAAAAGGGGAGCTGTCAAGATCAAACCCAAAATAAACACAGCCAAAAATCAGCCTGTATGGTCTATAGGAACATATACAGCAAGTTACAATGACTCCTGCCAAAACAAACAAATAAAGACCTTTTGGGGGGCAAATGAACTGGAGAATTACTCTCTCTGATAAGATCTGGTACTTTCAATGAAAATCTTGCCTAGTTCAGTCAGAGGGCTAACAGCTACGTCATTCCAGTTTACAGATAAGCCGATAAAGCAAATCCAAACTAACTAGAGCAAAGGAAAGGATCTGAAAACTGTTTTCCTGGAATCAATCTAACAAGGATTTGGGTTTAGTTGGTGGTTCTGATACTATGGGAACCACAAAAAAAAATGTTAGGTAATTAAGATCAATTGTCCCAAATTAGTGAAGCGGGCCTAGATAGGTATATAGAATTCTCATACTAATGAATGCACAGGAAAGGCAGTTTTTGGTGCAGGCTCAAGTCAGTACTGTTTCACAGGTAGAAGGAAAATGATACTCAAGAATCAGGAATACTTCTGTAAATAAAGCCCTTATTCAAGCACTTGGGTCAGCTTTTTAAGGATTTAGGGATTTTGAAGGATTATAAGCACACTGCAACTGTAATTTTATTCACAAAGATTTAGGAAGGCATTTCTGAAATAATCTTTAGAATTAAAAAAAAGTCACTTTTATTTTGCATTTACAGGTTGGTCGGCTGTTAACATGTAACTATTTAATGACTCTTAAAAATCTAAAGTCTCCAGCTTCTGCTACCTGTAAGTGGCTTGAAGTGACCAGTGAAGACGGTTCCCTCCTCTCTTTACCCACAAAAACCCTACAGAATCATTCAAATCGTTGTGCTCACTTTATGAACAGCCATGAAATACCCAGGCCATGAAGGGTATATATATCCAAAAAGCCACCAAGTAACTGAACAAAGTCACTTTAAAGAAGCAATGTGTGTCATTCTGGTGGGATAATGGTAGAGTTGGTAGGCGTACCCAGGTCGATCAGTTGGGCTGGTCACAGCGTTGATGACAAAAAAAAAAAAAAAAAAAGAGTGCTGAATTTTTGCTGTATATACTTAAGTAATGTTGGACTTAAGGGTTTACTCAAGGTGTACTGGCACCTGAGACACTCCCATGAACTTAGAACCCAGGGACAGATTAACCCACAAATGAGCTCCCTGGCATAGAGATGGTACTCACTGAAAAGGAATAAACTGTTCCAAAGCTAGAGGAGGAGGCCGCACAGAAGAAAAAGACAAAGACATCCCAGAAGAAACAAAAACTTATGCCACTGAAATAAATCCAGCATAAAATGAGTGCAGATAAAAGTTTTTTTTTTTTTAAAGCCATTACTGTCTCTATTTAAAACAATAATGGCCGGGCAGTGGTGGCACATGCCTTTAATCCCAGCACTTGGGTGGCAGAGGCAGGAGGATTTCTGAGTTCGAGGCCAGCCTGGTCTACAGAGTGAGTTCCAGGACAGCCAGGGCTACACAGAAAAACCTTGCCTCGAAAAACCAAAAAAAAAAAAAACACCAATAACGACTTTCCCAATTACATAACAGAGAAACCATTTTGAAGCTGCAAAGAGGGCAGGAAATACTGCTTTGTCCCTCAGAGAAAATGCTTCATATTATTTTTTAAAAATGTAATAGAAAAATAGTCTGCTGAAGAATTAGTGCTTGTTTGTCGATCATGAGGGAGGAAACTACATTAAATCAAGTTTTTCCTCACCACACCCTCTATGTCTGTAATTTCAAACAAAACTCTTAACAGTATCTTCTCAGATCTCAATATATTATTTAACAGGGAAAACTAAAAACAGCCACCGCTCTCTGTACATAACACACACACAGCCGTTCATGCTGTGTACTAGTTCACCTCACAGGATGAAATTCAACTAAGAAGACCTGAATACACCTCCTCCAATGACTCCCTCTGCCTATATATGTTACTTCCCGTTAGATACTAGAGCACAAAGCTAACTGCACAGCACAGACAGTGATCC